AATCCAAAAACCTAATGTTCAAATTTAGCTTTGAGATCTACTACAGCATGGAAACTTAGAATTACTACTTATATGGTCAGTGGCCAATTTCCCAACATAGTCTGATGTACCATATCATCCAAGTGAAGAAAAGAAGTGACTTCTAGACACACAATGAAGGAGCCAAGAGGATTTTCTAGATCCCACATTGTTACTGGTCTTGACAGGAAGCAAAAGAAGTATTCGCTTCACAGATGGAACTATGACAGTAATAAGTTTAGAATAAAAGAGAAATTTGCTTATTTATTTGTTTGTTTGTTTGTTTTTGTGCTGGTCCTGGGCTTGATTTCAGGGCCTGGGCACTGCCCCTAAGCTTTTTTGCGTAAGGCTAGCACAGCTCCATTTGAGCCACAGTTCCATTTTGACTTTTTAGTGCTTCACTGGAGGTAAGAGTCTCAACAGACTTTCCTGCCATGCTGGCTTTGAACCTCAATCCTCAGATATCAGCCTTCTAAGTAGATATTACAGGCGTGAGCCACTGGCACCCTGCAGAAATTTATTTTACTATATAAGTTAGCCATGTAACATACTATCTTATATTGAACTGAACACATTGTCATCTTAAGTCTTGTCTCCCTCTAAATAAAAATTGCTCTACCTATCCTCCTCTACTCCTGTTCCCATCTTCTCTTCCTGAGAAATATGTAATTTTAAATTCTCTGAGGTTATTGAAGCAGCTCTAGAATGACAAAAGTAGCTGTGTAATGTGGCACACACCAGCACTCAGGAGACTGAAATAGGAGGACCAGTATTTAAAATCCAGCTTTTTTGAGACCTTGTATGGGGGGGAAGAGAGAGAGAGAGAGAGAGAGAGAGAGAGAAGGATATTACTGCTAATTAAATTCCAGTCTGGGATGACCAACAAGAGGATCCAAATTTGGATCTTGAGACCATTATTACAAAGCCAACTTTAATTTCTGAATCAAGTATGGAATTACTCTAACCTTTTTAATATCCCTCTAATGAAGACAGTTGGCACCAGAATAGAGTCAAGATCTACATGGGTTGACATCAGCATCCCTCACGATGTCTGGCAGACTTAAGTCCTTATATATCATAAGCTTAAAGAATAAGCAGACAAAAAAAAAAGAATAAGCAGACAGTCATTTTAATGAATTCTAAAACATCTCCTTTGAAAGTAAGCATTTGCTTCTTGCAACAGTCCAATAATCTGGAAGACACAGTTCCTAAGATCCTGCATGTATCCTGGAACACCCAAGACCATAACAGTAAGAATGCTAGCATTCTAAATAAGGAACATTAGAAGTACCAGGCCACACAGAGCCACCAACATGTACATTCTCTCCTTATAAGAAATAAAATGAAAATGTTTTGTAGCAAGTAAGTGCCTCTAAGATTTATATAATAAAATTCACACCTTTTTCACTGAGGATTTAAGGACATAAAATGAATATAAATGAAATCTTATTCAATTATTTATATCAAATCTTAAATTACAGTTAGGCTACCTTAGTTTTCAAAGCTTTCATCAGAATTGGTCTAGCCTATGAGACAGTCCTTATCCCAGTCTATTTCAAGTATCATTAATAGTCTTCCTGGAGCTTGTTATCTTTGACTCAAGCACCTACCTCTCTGGCTCAGCACAGGCTGCCAAGAAAGAAAGGTCTCTAACACAAAGAAGCATCTACATGACCTTGAGGGAGGAGGGAAACTGTTCCCTATATAGGGATTTCTAACATGCCAATCCATAGTTGTTCACATGGCCACAGACAAAACAAAGGTGAGAAAGTTAGCATTATCTAGATAATGCACATCATGCTGATATGACAGATGAATATTTTTCAGAATTATTCATTTGTTCCACTCATTGTCCATTCCACACAAGGCAAATCAGTGGTCCCTCTACTTGTGGCTCTAGTCTTACATGTTGTAAATAATCTTTTATTTACTCAACAGTCTTTCAAATCATGGAAAGACACATTGTAACTCTATAAACTAACATCAGAATTCTTGAAGCAATTTTTGTTTTGATTCAAAAAGATGGATTCTCTGACCTGAAGACATGGCTCAAGTATTAGAACACCAACCACAGGAAAAAAGTTGAGCAAGACCTCAAGGCCCTGAGTTCAAGCCCTAGGACCAGCCAAAAAAAAAACCCCAAAAAAACCAAAAAACCAACAGGCTAAGGATTTGGAAAGCCATTTAGCCAGTGGTTCACATCTACAATCCTAATTATTCAGAAGACTATCAGTTCAAAGCCAGCCTGGAAAAACACATACACAATTCACATGCAAAGGCAGTTTTTCTCAAAAGGTTGTTTTGACCTCAAATCAACCTGAGGTTGATGGCTAGAGCAGCTTAATCTTCGACTGAATTTGCCTAGTATTGGGTATACTGATTCAACTTATCCCATTGCCAGCACGGTAAATGTGAAGAAATGCCTCTATTTCACTTATAGCTGGTTATAGAGGGGGGAAAAAATTCCACAACCTTCATCTTCTTCCTGTCCTATTTCAAGAGATAATTGGTAAAAAGTAAAAGACTTTACAACCAGGAGTGACAATGAAGAGAAAAGCATCAAGGTATCAGTTTCAAGAGAAGGGCTGAGGAGTCTTTACCCGAAATGAGAAGATCTAACATAAATGGCATCAAAGAAAGTGCTCAGGGTGACACTAAAATGTGTATGGGAAGGACCAAATTTAGCTAAGAGATACTTTAAAAGAAACAAGGAGCCATGTGCCAGCGGCACACACCTGTAATCCTAGCAACTCAGAAGGCTGAGATCTGAGGAGCCCTGTTTGAAGCCAGCCCAAGCCAAAAAAAGAAAAAAAAAAAAGGCTCAAAGACACATAGCTAATTAAACAACAAAAATCCCAAAGTAGAGGTATGACTCTACCTCTGCTAGCCTTAAGTGAAAAAGCCAAGTGAAAACAAGTGAGACCCTAAGTTCAAGTCCCAGTACTGCTGCTTGCAGAGATCCTCCCCTGCCACACATACACACAAGTTAAAGTTTTATTAAAATTCCATGTGGTTCTTTCAGCTTCTGTGATATTTTATATTGAGTCCCTTATTCAGTAGGATATAGTTCTGTAGTTTAAATCTAACCATACCGGGCTAGGAAGGTGGCTCAGTGGTAGAGAGCTTGCCTTGCATGCATGAGGCCCTGGGTTCGATTCCTCGGCACCACACAAGCAAAAAGAAAAAACCCGGAAGTGGCGCTGTGGCTCAAGTGGTAGAGCGCTAGCCTTGAGCTGAAAAGCTGAGGGACAGTGCCCACGCCCAGAGTTCAGGCCCCATAACCGGACCCAAAAAAATAAAATAAAATAAATCTAACCATACCTATGGCCAACTTGTGTGTGTGTGTGTGTGTGTGTGTGTGTGTGTGTGTGCGCGCGCGCGTGTATGCGCGCACGTGAGCACGCATCTGTACCTAGGCTTGAACTCAGGGACTTTGGCTCTCCTTCAGCCTTTTTGCTCATAACTGACACTCAACCACTTGAACCACTCTTCCAGTCCATTAATTTTGCTTGGGGGGTGCTATTTTGCATTTGGGGTTATTTTTGTTTGTTTTGGGGGGGATATAGGGGCTGTTAACTGGAAATAGAGTCTTGCCAATTTTTTTGCCCAGGCTGGATTTGAATATTGATCCTCAGATTTCAGCTTACTGATTAGCTAGAATACAGTTATGACCACCAGTACTTGCTAACCTTTAAGTAAAAAGTATTCTGAGCTTCAGTTTTCTCATCTGTGTAATGGGAATAGCAACATTACTGTTATTAGCTAGATCTACTTCAGAAGATCACAACTAAGAGTCACATGAAGTAAGAAGTATGAAACCATTTTTAAACAGTAAAGCACTCTACAAATATTGGTTGCTACCTTACATGGAACACTGTTATAAACATTTTTAAAAAATAAAAACAGGAGGAAACAAAATGTTTCTTTTACCTGAAAGAGAAGGGATGGTGTAGAGCAATTTTAAACTATTGACAAAATGTATTTAGGGAAATCGTTTGATATAAAATTGAATTATTATTTAGAAGTGAGATTCTCAGAGGAACATATCTACTTTAAACAGAAAGCAAGAAAAAAATAAGAAAAAGTGTGCATTTAGCTCTCAGCTTAAAATAACTTATCGTGTCCTATTAAGGAGAGAGAGTGGAGTTAATGACAGCCAGCACATACAAATATTGTCCCGTAAGTAAGAAAAGTAAAGGTTATTGCCAAGCACAGTACTACCAGGTAGCCCACAATCTACTGTGTATGTGGCGGGAGAAGGGGGGTAGGTGGTGGTTTTTAAAGAGGGCTTTAGAAAGAAATGGAAAAGCTATTCCTGAAGTATCCGTCAGACAACAGCGATTCAGCTACTTGGAAGTTTTGAGAGAGGTAGCAATGCTGCCTCCCGTAGAGGAGGACACCCACAACAATGAGGTCAAGGGTGTTCTGAGAGGTATAGCCTAGAGAAGACACAAACAATTTTTGAAGCACAACATATCAGCAAAACAAGACACGGAGTTTCCTTTACCTGGGGATAGGAATTTACTTTTTTAAGTGACCTAAGTTATTCATTCAATAAAGAGGCCACCACACAGACACAGAAAGATTGAATTTTTCGAAAGGACATCAGACAGGGCTAAAGATGTTGCTTAAGGGGTAAAGTGCTTGCCTAGCAAGACTGAAAAAAATGACCACACACACACACACACACACACGGGCTGAATGGACGTCATACAAATAATAACAATAATGCATAGAAGTGGTCCTAAGGTACAAAAATAAGACACAAGTGAAGATGATTATAGGAATACCAGCGGGAATCCAGTCACCAGTCACTATGACAACCCAAGTAGGTGGAGGGAAATACAAACACTGACCGGGCGTCAAGATGATTCTGGTTAGGTAGGGACCCCCGACTTGACCAGCACAGAAAGGTGGCCAGGGACGAAAGGGAGTTGGCCGCGGAGACCGCGTCCACGCCCGGGGACCCGCTCGGCACTGACCTGGTGCAGGGCTGTCAAGCCGTCCACGTTGACCGTGTTGATGTCGGCGCCTCTCGCCAGCAGCTTTTTCACCTCGTCGGTGTCCCCGCTGGAGCAGGCGGCCAGGAAGACGGCGCCATCCTCGAAGCGGACCCGAGGACTCCCGCGCCTCGTCTGCGACGGCCGCCCCGCGCCTCGACGCTCCACGGGCTCCTGCTCGGTCAGCGAACCCCGCCAGCGCCTCAGCTGCTCAGCCCGCCGCATTCGCGCCGACTCTGCCCGCTTCCCGCCCAGGTGCTCTAGCTCCGCCATTGCTCGGGCCTCGGCAGCTGCTGCCGAAAGGACCAATACTGGACTGCTGGAGCGGGTTGGGTGGCCGCTGCCGCCTCCCTCAGAGCGCTTCAGCCAGGAGGAGAAGGCGGAGACCACTGCGCCGCCATCTTTACTCCTCCCGCCACTAGCACCGCCTGCACGCTCTCTTGGCTTCAATACGCTCGCGCTGCCCGATCCTCAAAGCATCACGGGATTTGTAGTGATACACACTGGACTCAGGGAACCCCCAGGGCCGTTAGGGAACTACATATCCCTGGATGCATAAGAAAAGAGGCGAAGTTAACCTGCTCCTTCCCCCACTGCAGTCCCGGCGGGGTCACCTTTGCCCTGAAACCGGGCGGCCTGCTGGACTGATCTGGCCTATTTCTCTGGGCATCTTGGGAGTTGTAGTTTATTCTTATTATGACTACTAACTAATCTTAGCTCCCTAATTGTCACACACATTTGAAGTGAAAAAACGGCAGTAATTAATCTTATTTTGTAGTGGGGAGAAGTAGACATGAAGTACTCAAAAGATTCGAATCCATGTCTTGGTTCGAAATCTAGAGTTTTATCAACATGTAGTAATCTCAGTGATGAGAATGTGCCTGGGGAAGAGGCACGTGTACACATACAGTATTTTATTCTACACATATTTTATTTTACACATACAGTATTTTATTTTACCTAAGTATTTTAAACACAACACTTATTCTAGGTTTAGAGAAGATTGAAAATGATGTGTCCACGTGTAAAGAGCTTAAGCTTTAAATTCAAACAATTCACATCTGTAGACAGATTACTTGATTTCTCTGAGCCTGCTTCCTTCTTCTCATCTTTTTTCTTATCTTTCTTCTTTTTATTTATTTTTTTTAATTGTGCTGTCCTTGGGGCTTGAACTCAAGGCCGGGGTGCCGTCCCTGACGTTTTTGTGCAAGGCTAGTGCTCTATCTCCACTCCGCTTCTGGCTTTTTGGTGGTTGAGATGAGAGGCTCATGGTTTTTTCTGCCTGGCCTGGCTTTGAACCACAATCCTCAGATCTCAGCTTCCTGAGTGGCTATAGTTACCAGCGCCCAGCTTCCTGCTTCCTTCTTTATGAATTGGGAATAATATGCCCAGCACTGTCTGTTGAGACCAGGAGTGTCTACAATTATATTTTACCCACATAGGCCTGGAAATTCAATCCTTCTATCAGCCTCCGGGACAGGCACCTGCCATCTCAACATTCTATTGATTGAGATGGAGTCTCACGAACCTTTTGCTCAAACTGGCCTCCCAACTGAGATCCTCCATATCACTGCCTGTTAAGTAGATAGAATTACAGGCATGAGCTACTAGCTGCCAGAAAATTCAGACCAGGTTTTGGAGAATGGGGGCAGGTAGTAATGATGTTTGCTAGACAGGTGCTCTATTCCTTGAGCCATGCCTCCAGCCCAGGAGACTTTCTTTTTTTTTTTTTAATCTTTTTTTGGGGTCCGGTCATGGGGCCTGAACTCTGGGCCTGGGCGCTGTCCCTCAGCTCAAGGCTAGCGCTCTACCACTTGAGCCACAGCACCACTTCCAGC